GACGACATTAGAAGACATCAGGGTCTGTGATCTTATGCATGCATATGAAAATGTTGCAGTAACATTTGCACATCCCCTTGTGCACAGATAGCATTGTATGCTAAATAGGTCTGTGTGTGTAAATTAACAGGATCACGTTGCACCTCTGTGTGTCTACACTGTGGAAAACTTGGTACTGCAGCATCAAAACATAATAAAACAGGACACTTCATTTAAAATCAGTTTAGGAAAGAGTTCCTACTGTCCAGAATCAGAGTTGTCAAAGCACTAAACAATGCTGCTTGGCTCATCTTCTGCTGGCTGCCAATGTTCGCTCCCCCGCGAAAGGAACATTTTTGCATCTCAATAGACTCATCCAGTGTCAACAAATCTTTAAACTATAAATCAGTTACTCTAAGGAAGAGAGGGTTAACATCTACATTGTTCCATGAAGAGGGATTTTTTTTTTTGTATTCCCATTTACAAAACATACACATAGCCTGTAAATACAGTTACTGGAAACATTTTAATAAGAAAAATAAAATTAAAGCTACTCAGAGAAGCGTAACAAACAGAGCCGGCTCCAGACACCAACATTCCAAGCAGGTGCTTGGGGCGGCAATCTGCAAGGGGTGGCAGTCCATGTGGTTTTGCCCCCAAGCAGTGCGCCAAATTGCCGCCACGGAGGACGGGGGCAGTCCGTGTGCCGTTAGGGCGGCAAGCGCGTTTCCACGGCGGCGGCAATTCGGCGGCAGCGTCAATGTTCAGCTGCCCGCGGTGGCAGTTCGGTGGCTTCTGTCTTCCGGCTGAAGACAGAAGCTGCTGCCGAATTGCCGCCACCGCGGAAACACGCGTGCCGCCCTAATGGCACACAGACTGTCCCCGCGGCGGCAATTCGGCGCACTGCTTGGGGCGGCAAAAACAGTAGAGCCGGCCCTGGTAACAAGTCCCTGAGAAAGATTCACTCACACATGAACAGCCTGAAAACTCTCTCTAATTATCTGGGGGGGCAGGAGGTGTGCCCACTATCCACATGTGTTTGCACGTGCATTGTACAAACTGTCATCATTACAATATCTCAGTCTCCTGAAAGGATGCAATGAAATCCTACACAACCTTCTCCCCTGAAGAATCCACTAAATGACACATTGTGGGGGGCAGGTGGCCATCACAGGTAGAATGAGAGCAGCAAAGCAGCATATAGGCAGGTTACAAAACATGAAGGCTTACAAATGTATTGTACTTATGAGACAATTTTGTTGACAAAATTATAATATATAAAATTTTCCACCTTTTTTCAATCGATTTTTATTATTTCTGACATTGTAACCACATGTCAACCATCAGAGATATACTATAAAACAAACACCTAGAAAACTTGCTTGTGATATTATCCTCTTATTTATTTTTCTGCTGTGGGATAAATTCTGTACACCTTGCATTAGCTGATTCTACAACAAATTCTATTTATGCACAGTGTTATCTATAAGCATTCCCTCATCAGCTGTGATTAAAAAACTATGGGACTGTGTTTCCAAAGAGTACACTGAATATACAATATACAGCTTGCAACACAACTTGCATTATGTAAATGTCTTTCCAGAAATAATAATTGCTATGTATATTCCATATGCATTTATACACACTTTTAAAACAATTAAATAAGCCAAATTCCTTGACCACTTAAATGTCATGCAACACCACTCAAAACAGAACAGGGAGGGAGTGACCAATGGGAGTCACAAGGACAAAATTCTGATACTGGTTCTGCCACTGATTTGCCATGTGATCTGGGGCTGGTCTCTAAGCTTCTCAGCGACTCAATTACCTCATCTGTAAGCAGTGTGACTAGCACTGCCAACCCAGTGTCAAAAGTGAAGTCCAAAGATGAAAAGTGAAAACTATCCTTATAACTGTTAAAATCATTTCAAAGCTTTCTTAGTAAATGGGAACCACTGGGGGGAACACAAAAACAGACACATGCGATTTTCCCCCTTTGCTCACGTTACATATTCAGTGCTTCCGACTTGGTCTCCCCAGATTAAAACTGTTCCGTTCATGTCAGTTTTTCAAAAACATGAAATGACAGTCTCTGTCATCTAAACAGAATAATAGAAGTAGTGTAAATTTTGCCTTTTTGTTAACAAGTGGCCCTAGCACGCACAACTTTGAATTCAAACTACTGATATAACTTTAGAGACTTGTACCAGCTAGAAGCACTGGTTGGGGCATGCCAGCTTTTAGTACCTAAATCATTGCTTCACGTTACAGACTTACATGTTCTTTTTCCTAAGAGGATAATCAAGTAAGATACGTTCAAACAATAAAGAGCATTCTTTTTTTTTAATTCACTGGGTACAATCAGTGTTGACTAGAAAAACCTTAGATTTTTGGAAATGAAGAGGAGGCAGCAGAATTAATCTAAAGAACTCTTCTGCTTGGATCAATTGACATTCTAATCCTTCAGAATGTCAGCAGCAAAGATGCCTTTGGGTGAAATTCTAGCCCCGCAGAAGTCAAAGTTTTGTTTTTGACTTTAACAGAGCCAGGGTTTCACTGCACAATTCTGCACTCAGGGAACTGAATCAGGAATTTTGGGGGTTCTTTTCGCACTGACCTGATTCAGCTCTGAATCTGAATTAGCACTAAACCCTCACAGTTCCATTCGCCCCAAGAACTCCCAAAATGAAGGCTAAAGTCTCACTATCTCCTTCTTCCCTCAATAGTTATGAAACATAGGTATGTCTTATGATGTGTATGAACTCGGTCCAGCATGTTCCAGGAGTCCACTGACAGTGTCAGAGTAAAAAGATGACTGTCTTAGGCTAGCTGACATAAGCCCCCTCTCCAGTCTTCACTGAAGAAAAATGGAAACATGAAAATAAAAAGAAATGGGGGTTGAGGGAAAGACATGTTCAATTAGGTTCTGCGTCCAGTGGAGTTCAACTAGCATTAACTGTATTTCAAGGTAATTCTTCCCTGTAAGGTGCCAACATAGTTTCCCTAATCAGTGCAGACTAAGCCTAACCTTTTACCACAATCATTTTACAAACTATGTAAAGCAGAAATTGGGATGTAGGATAAAATTTTAAAAAGCAGGTACCTAAACCTAATAACTGAATCCATATTTATGCACCTAAATAAGCAGACTGCATGTTCAGAGGACAATGATATTAGAAGTCAATGGGAACTGCAGGAATTCAGCACCTCTAAAAAGCAATCCATTCAAACCCAAAAAATGGGTTTGAAAACCTCATCACATTAGCACCTTTCCGTGAAGAACCTTTAAATATATATTTATATTTGAATTTCTTGTTGAGCCAACCATAAAAATTGGCCAGCATAATCTTTCCTCCTCTGCCTTCTCCAGTGGTAAAAAAATCAGGTAAATCGAAGAACTAAAGTGGTATTATTTTTAGGTTTCAGGCACAGCCAGAGGAGTATAAGAGGTCTTCACAGCGCTAATGCAGCATGTTACCAGATTCCTTTGCATGTTTTTTTTTTTAATAGACAATGAGGTTTAGCCTGTGCAAAAACAAATACAATTTAGTCTCAACTGGCTAGCCTCCCAGGGTAACAGTGGTCCCTGTGGAGATAGCCAACAAAAGGTCTATGCATGGCTAAGTCCCACTAAATAGAGCTTAAGTGGGATATAAGTGGTTCCTTCTGTCAGGGTAAATTTCACCTCTAATCAGGATTTTTACAAAAAAATACTGATAGAGGAGAAAAGAAACTCGTGTACTATATATGAAGCTCCCATACACAATTGTCCCCAACCCAGATCTTCACACAGAAAGCCTTCCATGTCACTATTCAAATAATTAAGCTGAGAGATGATGTCAGTGACATTTCACGGCTTTATACAATATATAATGCTTTGGTTCCATTCAGATGCATGAAGCTTTTACATTATAAATAAATTATTGAGAATTAGCACAATTGTCAAGTTTTAGACTCTACTGACTTAAACAGCTCAAAAGATTTTTTATATATATATAATAGAAGACTGCTGAAAAATACATTTGCCTTCTCTTTACCCTTCTGACATATTGACATTCATATTGTACTGGATTTTGATTCTAAATGTCCTTAAAGAGAGAATAAAGAAAAGCAGCTAATCATTATTTCCATTCTCAATACCAGCTGAGTTTCAAAATCACCTTTGTATGTAAACTGAAAGCAACTGCAGCAACTTTCTAGGAGTTCAGATGGGAAATGGAACCTAGTGAAAACCCAGTGCTGACTCAGAGAGAAAGACAGTTATTTCCCCGGGCCACTAACCTCCTCCTCAGAATTAGTGAGTTATCTGAAACTCAAACTTCCTTCACAGGGCAAAGTACATACAGTAAAAGAGTGAGGGGAAGCCCTTTGTATGCACAGGTGCGATTTGTTCAGAGAGAGAACTAGTTCAGTTTTGTTTTGAGGATAGGATGAGAATGTACAGTAAGATACAGAATTTCTCTCTCTTTTGACATTTCCTCAGTTCCTTTTTTTCTTCTTCTTCTTCGACAAGCCAACCAGACAAATGTCAAAGTTAACATGTACTTTACATGTTTTAACTCTCCCTCCCCAATTACATTTCTTTATTAATATTTGACTCATATTTCACATTTTAGCTGTTTAATACTATGATATCTCGCTTCAGTATGCGCTGTCACCCCATCTCAAAATTTAAGAGGTGATTAGATGTGTTAATATAACAGATGTGCAGCCTTCTGGGGTTCTAAACCTTTCTTCGCCAAATGTATCAGATTCTTGCATAATCAGCAGGAATGATTAACCAAAATTCAGTCAGAGCTAATAGCAAGACAAACGATTGCTTCCTACTGCATCTGGTACATGTTTTATACAAACGCTTGTGAACTATTACCTGCCAATGTAGCTCTAAAAGTTTGAATCTTTTAGACTGATTTTAATAAAGTGCCCTTGAAAATAAAGTACCATTCCAAAACTAAAGAAATGAGTAGTTGAAAGTAAACACGATATGCATGCATTCAGTGTAACAAAGGAAAGCTTCCTACCCGTAACAGGGACTGGGATTCGTCCTTTGATTTGTTATCGCCTGATCCAGGATATTGATGAGTGAGTGGTCCAGATTTCTCTCCGCCTCCTGCTGGCACCCCCTGCAGGAATCCCTTGGTCTCAACAGCCAAGCCATAAATAGGCCGTGCAAGGTGGGCAGCTTCTACGTTTGGACTATCCCTTAACGGCTTTGGCTGCTCTTGGCCAACAGACACTGGGGTCAGGAGGCCTAAGCTTGTTTGTGTGTATGATGGACTTCCCCTCAAAATGTCTGTTCCTCTCCAGGTCACACTGCGAAGATCATCATTGGAGCTGTCAGTCCAACCTTTCTCCTTGAGCACTTCCTTATCTTCTAGCTTTTCCCTCTTCACTATGCTGTCAGAAATGGGCTCCCCCATTTTGGGGTCTGGATTGATCAGACTGTAGACCTTTAGGTCAATTTTGGGCTCTTCCTTGATAGCAGACATACCATGACTGTCTTCCCCATTGGCTGTACTGATGTCCATCTCCTGACAATGCACAGTGTTGAAGTGCTCTAGTAGTGACTGAGTGTCAACAGCTGTAAAGCTGCACTGACGGCATTTGTAGCAGTTATGTACTCTCCTGAAAGAAAATGAAGATAATTTTAATATCAGAATCCACTCACCATCCCCTTTCTTGTACCTGAATTTTTCTTACAAAATATATGAGGAGGTCTGGAATGGAATACTTCCAAATCCAGAACTTGAAGTGAAATTATGTGGCACATGTAACTCTAAATAAAGAATATGGGTTTATTTTTGTTGTATGTTGGGTAACACAAAAATAAATCTAGTTGCTAAAAACTGGTTTGTTGCTTTTGTTATCAATGATCCTCTAACCGTTCATTCATACTCAGTCCTGTCTTTCTGAACTCTACATAATTTCACTGCAGATTTTGTATGATTTTTCTTTTTGATTTGAATCAATACACTTTTCACCTCCTATTTATTCCACTGTGACATTTTCCAACAGAAAATGAAACACAAGGGGACATACTTCTTTCTGACACCTAATTAAAAGCCACTTTGTATAATATAGTGCTGTATTAAAGAATTCCTGTTTAATTGTTTTTAAAAATTCCTTCGCCTATCATCAATTTTACATCCATTTAGTCAATACAGAGGACTTTGGAGGAGAGCTCTAGTTAACTTACAGCTAAAGATACTTCAAGGGATAAGAGTTGTTGAAACAATAAACAATTCTTATTTGTTCTCTATGGAAATTCTAAAAACTGTTTTGAAATGAGACTGCTCTTAAGGAAACACAAGACAGCTGATTGTGTCCTTATATATTGAATTCTGCTGTCAAATGCAGAGGCACTTCGTAACATATGAGAGGCTTTCAAGTAGGGAAGCAGAGAATATATGTGAATTCCATTACAGTCTGCTAAAAGGTGTGTAATATGTTGGAATAATAATGCACATCCCTGTTTTCATTATAAGTCTATGCAAAGTACTATATTAGTAAATCATGTAAAGCATACATTACTATATTGGAACAACATGTTACCAGTTTACTGTATATCCCACAGTAACAGAATACTTTCTCTGAGCTAACTATGAAACATTTATTAATTATTATTATTTATACTACAATAGCGGCCAGAGTCCCCAGTGAGTATTGATGTCCCATTGAGCTAGGCACTGTACCAATGCAGGGTAAAAGACAGTCCCTGCTCTTCATCAAAATGTATATAAATCTGTAATTCCTTCTCCCTACAGATACATTCATACATACACACCCTATGCACTTAGAGTCACAGTACTGACTCTAGTCAAGTTAGAAAAAATGAGCCCTTGACTATCCACACTGGACAAAGCTTGTATGGGAAATCTGTTACTGCCATGACAACTTCAATTGTTGAAAATTAATTCTTTCAAGGCCAAATCCTGGTCCCAATGAAGTTAGTGGCAAAACTCCCATTAACTTGAATAAGAGCAGCATTTGGCGTTTAGTTCATCTGTATAGCTGGAATAGTACAGAAAATATCCCTTTTTAAGTCTGATCGTGTAGGAGAAATAAATGACTAAACTTAAAATAAACCATATGCTATTTAAAGTATCTGATTTTCATGAAATTTTGCATGCATGCATGCAGATATGAGTATGTATTCAAGTATCAATACCTGTAGTGCTTGTGTAATATTTTCTCTGAGTCTTTTTCAGTATTATTATTTTCAGTTTAGATAACTAGATGGGCTCCTTCAGCCTCCAAAAAATTCAGTGAATTATTCTGTATATAGTCTAGTGGCAAAGGAGTCTTGTTGTGGGCCAGAAAACAGTGGGTTAAAATCCTGTTCTGGCTGTATTGTCTCATTCTAAACTAGCTTTTTATTGAAATCAGCCCATCTCTCAGTGTGATACTAACTTAATTCTTTTCTGAACCAAGCTTAATTCTGTTTCTGAACCAAAAAGAGAAAGTGCTATCTGATCAAAACCATTTAACAGATACGAAAAAGCCAATTTAGGGAGGGAAAAGGCTAGTCATATAAAGGTGGAATATCTTCAGAGAAGGCCAAATTCGACAAGGGTTAGTTATCTAAAAAGCCAAGTTAAACAAGACACCATTTGGGACTAATGGCCCAACCCCAATTTACTCCCTGCCTGAACGTTTATCAATCCTTTGGGAGGCAATTTAGCACTAAGTGTCTTTTGTTTAACTTGGCCATTTGAAAGGCTAACCCCCTTTTCTAACTTGGCTCCTTTCTACAGATATCACACCTTCAGGCAGCTGATCTTTTTCTGTCTAACTTGGCTTTATTAGGTGCATGCTAAATATTTTTGATCCAGATTGTATATACCACCATTATGATACTAGTGAAACAAATAAATGTACAGTATAGCAGCAGCCAGCCAGGGATTTTAACTATATATTTATAACTAAGGCACGGACGGGCCTGCTTAAATGCACTTTTATTACTCTGAAAGCTTGTAGATTTTTAATTCTTTAGAAAGGGGTTATTTTTTCCACCCACAGAAAGTTACATGAGGATTTCTTAATTTGCCTGTGTAACTTTTTATACAAATGCCACCCAATGGGAAAAATTAGGGCCTTTTCGGACAAGTAGAATAAAAAGATAGGCTCTTTTAGAACATACCCTTTTCTAATCTACATAAAAAAACCACCTCTGATCCCAACTGGATAGCTCAATACCTAAGACTTGTACAATATTAGTAGATACACTGGACAAGCCAGGATTTGGTCACAGATCTTAAACTAAATTTTCTATACCCACCAACCTAAAAGTGAGCAAGTGTTGAAAACTGCATACATGTGAATAATTTAATCATTACGGATCAGAGTACAAATTTGGCCCAACACAAAAAAGCTACATGAGCACATCTGATTTTTCTTCCTATCCTGGCACCAATCCAGGAAGCAACTTGAAGGGCTGACTTGTTCGTTTGTTTTTAAATCAGAACTGAAATCTACCATTGATTCATAATGGGACAAATTCCATGGAAGTTTGTGAAGTGAGGCCCCAAAAAGCTAATCAAGAAAGTTTAAAAGAAAAGCAGTTTGCATAGTACGCTATATAATACAAGTATCAGAGGGGTAGCCGTGTTAGTCTGAATCTGTAAAAAGCAACAGAGGGTCCTGTGGCACCTTTAAGACTAACAGAAGTATTGGGAGCATAAGCTTTCGTGGGTAAGAACCTCACTTCTTGCATCTAAAGGTGCCACAGGACCCTCTGTTGCTTTATATAATACATTGATTTAGTGTTTCAAAAGTTATCATTACTAACTAGATGGTGGTTGTACCATCTCAGGCTGTGATCTTATGAGATAAGATACAGCACACGATGTCAGGGTTGATCAGTATTAGGATGAGAGACTTCCAAAGAAAACTGAGGGATGGAGGAAAATGGTGTTGGTGAAAAAGCAAATACCACTCTTCCTTCTATGGTCTTGTTCCTGAACCATTCAACTCAATGCAGTTTTTCCACCGAGTTGAATGAGAGACAAATCAAGCCCTAGGCCAGTACTCATCTTATCATGGCATTAGGAAGGCACTGAAGCCATTTTAAAAATTTATTATGATATAAATCTAAAGTCCTGAACACTTGTGGGCATTAAAATATTCCATGACACTTTTCACAGGAACAGGAGTCAAATATTCTGACCAAGATCCTATCTGAGTTGTTACATGCTGCAACCGAGTATTTTACTATTATTTATTTGTATTGCAGTAGCATCCTAAGGTCACTGGCATGAGGAGCACTACAAAGACAGTGACAAGTGACTGTGCTGCAGAGCTTGCAGTATAAAAAGCCACAAAAAAACCCACACCTGAAGGGTAGGGAAAAATGGTACCACACACAGGAAAGGTGCTCAGGTGACGGCAGGCAAATGTCATGTTACTACCATGGTTTCTGTATGTTTCACATTTTATTTATTTCTTGTTAACACATTATCCCTTTTATTTATATTACAAAAAGCTGGGTTTAAGAGGGGTTTTATATGTTTGTTTTTAGATGGGGGTTATACTTGGAGTTGAAGGGGAGGGAGGAAGAGACTTTTTGAGTAAGAGGGGGAGTGAGTAAGGGGAGAAGGGAAACTGAGGGAGGGAAGTAGGAGGATGTGAAGGCCGGAGAGTGAGGCTGAGTGGGATGAAGGAGAAGCAGCAACCGCTGAAAGCAAAGCAAACAACAAAAAATATATATCCACAGTCCAAGTTCCAGAGCTGAGTGAATTAAGGTATCAGAAGGGTGGGAGGGCGCCTCCCAGCTGCTGCTGCTGTTTCCCAGGTGAAAGGCAGGGCCAACACCAGGTCCCTCTAGGTCTGGTAAAAGAGCTGGATGGCCCTGTTTTACCCGCACCCCCTCCCACACACACTTCAGCGGCAGCAGATGATGGCTGCTTTGTGGAAGAAACCCCCAAATCTAGGGATTGCCATAAGACCCTCCTCTTGGCTGCTACTGCCCATGTGAAGCAGGAGAGGCAGTCTCTTGTCCCAGTACCCCAGACATATCCCTCTGGATCCACTGGGATATAAGGGCCTGAAAAGTCCCTGTGCCCTCAGCCACAGCCTGTGCTGTCTGCTTTATGCACTATTCTTCATTTCTTCTCCCAAAGCACTGTGTAGTGTTGTAGTGCATGGTTAGACAGTTGATGAATTTGACCTCAAGGGCAGCTGCATTTCAGTAATGCATGAAGTGACTCTTCGTACTTACTTCAGGTCTAATATTTAAAGTCAGATGTACAGCTGCATGTGCAATTGTGTACCCAGTCTGTATGGGCAACTGCCATAAACTGCATGCACCGATCAGGTTTTTCCATGGAAAAACAACCACTTATGACTCTCGCTGTCTATTCACATATGCAAAGAACCAATTTATACATGCAGTTGTGCTAATTACATACATGCATTTAGCTTGTTTTTACTCAATTGCACGCTTACCTTTTTGAAAATCAGGTTTTTTACATGTATCTTGTAAAAAGTTTTTGAATCCTTCTGAATGAAAACCAAATAAAATTGTCACTTACATTATCAACAGATTAGTTCTGTTTATTGGAAAACATGATTCTGCCCTCATTACAAAAGATCATAAGGCATTCTGAGTGGGAAGTGTGTCCTTTTTT